CATTTCTCAACCATTTCTCGCAAAAGAAAATACGACCCCCCCCTCCCCCCATCCGCTCCCAGCGACCAGTGCGAACCCCTCGCTTGGGATCCCCATTGTCCGACGTGCCCTGGATACAGTGCCCAAAAACTTGAAATAAGTCGTGGGAGTGGGCCTCTCTTACCAATTTTGATGTAGTTATGCAATTCAGAGCTTAAAAACCATTACGTAATTCGCAGATATACCCAGGCACGTTTTATATGTATGAGCACAGTTCCGTTGTACCGATTCAGAGAAAAAAAAACTATCAGAATCCTTAAATAGGCAAACTGGCTTGATCCCAGCTCTTTTCATCTTTATATAGATGGTGGTCTTTGCCAGAAAAATCAGGTTTCACATTCTCGCGAATCTGTTAACTTTGATTTGATTCGTGTTATTTATTTCTGGCTTTTTTCGAAACTTAAATACACACTCAAGATTTAGGATTAGGAGCTGAGAGACCAAAAACCTCACTCTTTCTAACTGCATGGTGTTGCCAACAATTTTCTCCCTCTTGTTTGTTTATGTGGTTCTGTGGACCTTACACACGCTCGTCTGGTCTCTCGCCGAGCGTCTCTGCGTCTCTATTCATCTCACACTCATCCAATGCTTAAAATCAACCGGAACTTAATTGGCACGTTTTCAACGGCTTCCTCTGCCCTGTTTTTTGTTGAGTCTTGCTAGCTCAGACATGTTCCCCTGTAGTACTCGCGACCGGCAAAATGTGAACGGAATGGGAATGAGCCTTTAACATTGCTACAACTGAGCGTACTTTGATGTTTTTCCTCAATCTTCAACATACCTGCTGGGCGTACCTTGTGCTCGCTAGTCATGATAAGAGACTTAACTTGGTATGCGCCATGGCGCTTCTAGCACTTTGGAGCTAAAGGATCAAATTCCCTTGGGAACAAAGATGCAAATCCTTCAAGTCGTTCTCTTTTGTTTACTTAGTACAGTACGAACCATATGTCCGCGCCAATCAGGGAAAGAAGTTATAATGATTGGGCCAAGGGGGTTAAAGTCCAGTATGCGAGTGTACTTTGAACGTACTTTGATCAGAACTGCAACATTATAAATCGTGGTGATAATAGCGGAACACGATCGCAGAGCAGTTTAACGTTTTGAGGAGTTAACTAAATTTGTCTCTTCTTTAAGGAACTGCGTGTAGAGTCCATGGGAAATTTCCCGTGAGAAAAGGTAAAGAAGAAACAATTACAATATCAATCGGTTCAGCTCTAGGCATGGGAATCTTTGCCCATATTGAGGGTGCTCAGTCATGTGAGTTTTATGTGTTACATGTTTCCCTGAATTTACATTCCCAATCATTTCAAATGTTATTGTATTCAGCAGGAAATATTTCACATCGGATTGAAAAGTTCAATTTCGGCCCCAGAGTTAGAGGTCTCGTCGCCCCTCTTGCTGGAGCTGAACAAATCTCAAAAAGTGGTAAGTTCTTGTATCTCATTAAATGCTTTTTTTTGAATATACAAGAACCC